CGACGCGAAGCACCTGCCGGGCCGGACCGGCGGCCCCGCGACGGCGAAGAGCCTGAACATCGCGGCGCGGGGTCCTCGCTGCAGCAGATGGAGCCGCGTTTTCGACCAGGGGGCTGCGCAGGTGTTGCGCGCGCTGTTCCGCGAGACGCGGGCGCAGCATAAGCGCGCCCCGCGCCGGGCCAAGATGGGCCCCGGCACCGCGAACTTCGGCGCCGCCGTAATAAAATGCGTCGAAAAGAACGGGGCCGCGGCGGTCAATCGAGCGCAGGGAGGAGCGCGAAAGCCGAGCGCGGAGGCGGAGGTGCGCGGGCAGCGGTTCGAGGCGATTCTCAAGAAGGCGATCGCGGACGCGCAGTGCGTGCGAGGCCATGGGCCGACTCGCTCGGTTCTCGGTCGGGGGCCGCCCCTGCCGGAGGAGCTGCGGCCCGAGGGCAATTCGGGGGGGTGAACGCGGCGGCGCTGCGCGACGAGGAGTTCGCGCGGAGGGCCGCCGGGGGGCAGGCGGCACGCGCGGCAACGGCTGCGCTGATGGGCGACCGGGCATGGCGGGCAGGACCTCGAGCGCGCCGAGCACTCATGGCGGGCGATTTCGCGGCCGTTCGGCGGCATGGCCTGGACAAGTCCAACGAGGCGGCCAAGGCGAGATGGCGCGTGATGGCGCGGGTCGCGGGTGGACTGCGCGACGTCTACATCGTCGCCTTGGGCAGGCAGCGGCTGCTGGCGGCGCCCTGGCAGCCGCGACAGTTGTCGCGCGAGGGGGTCCTGTCCTGGGTCTGGAGGACCTGCTGTCGCCGGAGGTCATCGCGAAAGCGCTGGGCCAGAGCCGGCAGCAAGGCCGCGCGGGCGTCGCCGAGGAGGAGGCTCCGCCGGACGCGGAGATCACTCACGACGCGGAGGTGGGAAGACCGACCGCGGCCGAGGAGACCGAGGGCGCGGGGTCGCCGCCCGCTCGGGCTCGAGAAGCAGGCGATGGCGGGGATCAGCCGGATGAGCGCGCAGTGGAGACGAAGGAAGGAGACGCCAGGATATGTCCGATCGAAGGTGGATCGGCTTGAAGGTCGGCGGCAGGAAGCACGGAGGAGTCGCGCGAGATCCAGGTCACCGGGAAGCCGAGCGAAGGCGTGGGAGACCAGAGGAGGGCCGGCACCATGCGAGGCGGCAGTGAACCCCGTGGGCGAGGTCATGGAGCAGGGCGCAGCGGCCGAGATGCAGAAGCCGAGGCGGTCCTACGCGAAGACGAGGGTCGACGAGGAGGACCGGCCAGCCAAGGGCCGACGAGGACGATCTCGAAATGGAGAGGCAGGTCTTGATGTCGATCGATCGGATGGAGGGCGCGGAGGACCAACCGTGCCACGCGGAGCTGCCTGGGCTGGGCATCTCGGGCGTGCGTCCGCAGTGCGAGAGTCAGATGCGTGCGATGACGGAGTTCGGGGTCGCGCTATCAGCGTCGTCTTGCCTGGTCGCGACGGGGCGCGACGAGTTGAGGGGGTCGAAGGCGGCGCCGGGCATGAAGGGCGGTACTGGCGAGGCGAAGGTGGCGGAGCGGAGGGCGATGCGCGCAGAGAAGCGAGCGGCGACAGTGCCGAGACTCGAGGGGCGCAAGGAGGTGAGACGAACGCGCCCACGCCAGGTCCTGAAGTCCAGGCGCGCGCTGGCGGAGAACCACGGCGGAGCGGTCAAGGCGAGGCTGGCGCCCATGGATTTCCGGCGACCCCGATTTTTTCACCTGGTTGAGATGGGCGATGCGGAGGCACTCGCGGTCGGCCAGATCGCGATGGCCATGGCGCTGCTCATCGCGAGCCGCAAGTGGGCGATCGAGATTGGCGACGTCAAGGGAGCTTTCCTCGAGCGACGACGCTGACAGGCAGGGCGGTCCGCTGCGTCTGGTTCCACCGCCAGGCGGGGCACCGGGGACGCCCGTGCATGCACTCGTCCGCGCGGACCACTCTGCGGCCTGAGCGATGCGCTGGAGCGCCGGTTCAGGAAGTTCGCGTCCGTGGCGGAGGAGGCGGTTCCCGCCCAGTCGACGTTCGATCCGTGCGCAGATTACTGTTGGGGCGACTGGGCGGCGTCATCACAGGCGGCGCCGGGCGCCAGTGCGAGGAGATCGTGGACTTCCCGAGGCAGAAGCCGCCCTTCCGGAAGTAAAAGGCCGGCGAGGGCGATATCCTGCGGCGCCGCGGGCCGCGCAGATCGGCGACTTCAGCGCCGCGGTGCCCCGTGTGCAGCTCGCCAAGAACATGGGTGCAGCGAAGGTGGAATCCCAAATCGACATCAGCACGCAGGAAGGCGCTGGTCGAAGGCAAACGGTTGCAGTCGCAGGCTCGTCTCGACTTGCCAGGGCAAGTGGATTCGGCGCAGCAGTTGGTGGGCGGCCTGACAGTGGCGACATAGAGAACGATCGACCAGATGATTCGCCGTGCTCGTCATCGTCAGTTCTTCGGAATGCCCATGGGGCGTCGTCCTTGTCCAGCTAAGGGTCTCACGAACATGGCGCGCGCGGACGCGGCGCTTGCGACTGCCAGCAGAGAGGGAGGGCGCCCAGGCAGGCAATGTCTTTGCAGCAGTGAGGCAAGGGGGCGGCCCCCAGAGATGAGGGCAGCTTGTGGACTCCATTCGCGCGCTGCTCGCGTCGGTTGAAACGCGCGGCGGCAGCGGCGCTGGCGGGGGAGGTCTAGATTTTGGCCGACGCTTTGGGGCGCCACGAGTGGGCGACGAGCAGCTTCCAGGAGGCGGTGGATGTCAAGTTCGGCCCGGCTCGTCGAAGCGTGCGCGGTTGATTGTAAATCGGCGAACCGACAGGGAATCGGCGTGCGAGGTTGATGGTTAATCGGCGTCTGACAAGCAAGATAACAGGATCGGGGGCCCCAGTCAAAGATAATAGACTTGCGATCGACGTCGTCATTACCGGGGAGTCTTCATCAAGTTAATCGTCGACGGTTCGATGGGCGCCGACATCATGTCAGCTAGCAGATGAGCTGAATATAGGCGAGGCGAGACCGATCGACGCGCTGCGAGCGACCGCGCGAGGTGGACATCCCCAAGTCACCGGTCAAGCGATGCATCTTCGACGAGCGGCCGAGGAGATGCGACGACGACCAGAGCGAGCAACAGTTACGCATAATCGAATTGAATCAGTAGCAGCTTTGGCCTGACACTCAGCAGTTCGTGACCACCGAGCAGTTATCCCAGTGGGTGTGGAGGCGCGCGATGGTGTTCGCCGTTTGGGGGGGGGGCAGTGGACTCGGCGAGGTAATTGATCGAGGCGATGGGTGAGCTGGGGGCTCTGATTGCCCAGAGGACACTGGCCAGGGCGAAGATGAAGAGCGAGATGAGGGCGGGACTTCCAGCGCGCGCAATGCTGGCGATGGCGTTCTATATCGACGCCGGGAACGCGCAGGCGCAAGGACCTGCAACGGGGACCCGCTGCCCACGCTGATCGGGCGCTGGACAATTTCAAGCTGCTCGCGAAGGCCTACGCGCAACTTGTGGTCTCAGGACGGGCTGGTCTGCAGGCGGTGGCGCCTGGAACGGATGTGCTTCTCGACGCGCTCCCGAGGCGCGAGGCGGTGGCGCTCGAAGTAACTCATTACGTCAAGCAGGAGGAGCAGGGCGACGGCGGCTCGGGAACCGAGCTCATGGTCTTTGCGGGTGCGCTGGCGGAGGACTACCGCGAGGCGATCAAGACCATCGCGATGAGCGGGGCTACTGGGCTGATCGGATACCCGACCTGGCGCTTGTAGTTCCTGAGGATGATGGTCGAGCAGTTCGACGCGACGACGGCCAATGAGATGATCGATGATCCCGAGTCGGTCGACACGGTCGATGAAGAGACGCGCGGGGTGAAGTCCGAGGGTGGCAGGAGCTCTAGGCGCCAGTGAGGCCGAGCGTGGGCAGTCGGCAGAGGCGAAGCGCCGAGGCAGCCCGTTCAGGAGCATATTTTCTTCGTCGGGGACGAAGTGGAGGGCGTGATGAACGTTCTGCCTCCGCAGGCATCCCGGCTCAGGATAGCTGGGCCGCCCAAGGATTATCGGAGCCTGCTCAGGGCCAGCAGGAAGACAGCACGCGCGATAGGGTGGCTTCCGCCGACGCCCGCCGATCGGCAGGAGGGGAGCACAGGTGCAGGGGACGGGACGAGGAGGAAGAGGAGGAGGAGGACGAGGAGGAGGACGAGGAGGACGAGGTGAAAAAAGGGCGGGGAACGGCAGAAAAGGGAAACGAACTGGAGGAGGAGGATAATCCAGCCGCAGGCTCCAGCTGGGCCCGCGGCCACCAGCGACGCCCTGGGAGACTCAGAGCGGCCAGAGAGCCTCACAGCGCGTCGATCCTCGAGCGCTGGTGCCCTCGATGACCTTGACCAGGAGGAGGAGGAGGAGGAGGAGGAGGAGGAGGAGGAGGAGGAGGAGGAGGAGGAGGAGGAGGAAAGGAGGAGGAGAGAGGAGGAGGAGGAGGAGGAGGAGGAGGAGGAGGAGGAGGAGGAGGAGGAGGAGGACCATGCACGAAGGCGGCAACTGTTTTGAGAGCCCGGCGCCCAGCCCCAGCACAGGGGAATCTTGCACGTGGAAACGCAGTGCGCGGGAGAAGTGTGGGCAAGCTTGCGCGGTGTCGGGGGAAAGGGTCCGGACCTGCCGTCGCCGTGGCTAAGTCACGACGTGAGGCTGCTGAAGGGGATCGGCCTCCGAGGGTCCTTGACGGGCCCCGGGGCCGTCGACATCGATGCGGGGTGCAAAACTGTCCTGGGCCAGGGAACCGTATTTCTTGTGGGGGTGGACTCTTGGAAGAACAGGCGACGTCGGAGCTCTGGGAGGAGAGCAACATTCAGATCTACGATGGCCAGTGGGAGGGGGACGGGTGTGGCAGGCGCCAGGGCGAAAAGGCTGAAGATGGCCCGAGGGGACAGCACAGAGTGCGAAGGTTCGAGCCGGGTGGAAGCACACAGCAAAGACCAAATACCAAAAACATGTGGGGCGTTCCAAGAAAGACCGTGGGCGGGCGGAGAGGCAGCCGGCGTGGAGCGTGTTCGTGAAGGCCACGGCGCCCGGCGCCGATTCCATGGCGCTGCCCCCGAGCGCGCTCTTGAGAGAGGAGGAGGCCGGCGCCGCAGCGACGACGACGCCGACGACGACGCTGACGACGCCGACGACGACGACGATGCCGCCGACGACGACGACGACGCCGACGACGACGACGCCGACGACCACAACGCCGACGACGACGCCGACGACCACAACGCCGACGACGACGACGACGCCGACGACTACGACGACGACGCCGACGACCGTCCTTCGAAGAAGAAAGAACATACAGAAACTTTCTAGATTCCCGCGGATTTCTTGAATTAGCGCTGGGCCGTAGTGGGCCCTGGAAACGACATTGCCGTTTTTGTTACCCGTTCAATTTCGCCGTTCTCTTGCCGGTTCCGTCTCCGTTTTTCCCCCGGTTCCGTCGCTGTTTTTTGGGTTGGTTCTGGCTCCGGTTCCATTCGCGGAGCCGTTTTTTGGCCGGTGCCAGCTGCTGTTTTTTTTGCCGCCTCCGGTTTTTTTAATCGGAAAGTATGAAGAAGAGCTCATGTCAATAATAATAATCATAATAATCATAATGATAATAATAAGAATAAGAATAATGATACTAATAATAATAATAATAATAGTAATAATAATAATAATAATAATAATAATAATAATAATAATAATAATAGTAATAATAGTAATAATAATAATAATAATAACAAGTAATAATAAATAAGAATAATAATGATGATAATAATAATAATAACGGCCCTGCCGTTTCCAGGGTCCACTAAGGCCCTGGCCGTCCTTCGAAGAAGGCAACGCGTCAGAAGCTTTCTAGACCCCCGCGGATTTCTCGGATCAGCGCGTGGTTCCCTCACCGCTCCGCGCGCCAGGAAGTCTGGCCCATCGCCCGATGCAAGACTTCCGCGAGGAGCTCGAGCAGATTACGGCCATGTCGTTTTTTCTTCCTCTGATCTTGGCCATCCTGGGCCGACCCTCCTCGAGCATTTTCTCGAAGACTTGGGGGTGTTGTCCCAGATATCTCGGGCGGGTGTTGAGTTCGGATCCTGGTATCTTTCCCTCCATTTCAGCCACATGTGGGGGGCCACTTTCGGGCCCAGGGCTATGATGTCCCAACTTACTTCAGCATTGATCACCGAAAAGATTTTCGAGTACCAAGACGGGACCGAGACCGGAGGGCTTTCACGCGTCGGGCCCTGGGAGGCGATACTCTTTCGACACCGTTTCGATACTTTTTGGGGTGCTCGAACATATTTCTGGGACTCTGCCCTTAAGTACGGTGGGAGCAGCATAGGTCCGGGGGCCACCAAGGAGTGGCCGAGGGCGCAAAACACGCCCCCACGAGAGGCGGCCGAGGCCCTTCGGGCCCGCGGGTGGACCAAACCAAGCCGCCCGACGCCTGCGCTCGGGGCCCCGCTTTGACGAGGCGGGGCTCCGAGAGGCTCCAGGGAAGGTCGGCGCAATGACCGACAAATCAACGGGGACGTTCCCCAATCGGTGCTTGCACCGAAGGGGTCCCGGCGGAAATCGAATGACTTGGCGAGAGTTTACCGCCGAGTTTGGTGGCCGGCCGGGGTCCCGGGTTCCCAGTTCCGGGCCCCCAAGGTTTCTGGTCTGGCTCCGGGCCGATTTCGGTGGATTCTGGGTTCCCGGGTTCGCAGGTTCCCGGTCGATCTCTTTATCGATCCCATTTCAAACCATTCACTGATTAGGGTTTTCCTATAGTGTAATATGTTTTTTGTAGGGTTTCTGGACATCTGCGACGACATCCCATTTTGTTCCCAGCTCCTCGCCAACATCTACGTTACAGCATCATGATTCTCCACCTCCTTCCTATCCGCCGCCCGTTACGCCCCTGCTTCCCCATGGCCCCTTTTTCCCTCACTGCGAATATGTTGCCACCTTCCCTCGTTACTATGTCTGTCTCCATCGTCCTGTCTTGTCCTCATTCCGCTATGGATTCTGTCTTCCCTCTGCTCACCCTCGGCGTCCCGCCCTGTCTCGCTGAGGTATTCTTGTCGTGTTGCCTTCAGCCACCTCCCGCTTACCGTGCCCTCACCTGTGCTTCGCGTGTCGCGGGTCTCCCCTAGCGAACACGCAGATACTCCCACATGCAGGCATATTACACGTTTATGCGAGCTGGCATTGACCATAGGCATGGGATCACATGGTCACACTCCTACGTCACCTGCATACACGCGCGCATGTGCATATAGTTGAGTATACAAGTGTAGTTATACGCTTACATCTCTTCATCGATGTACGCACATAGGCATCTGCACATGTATAACACCATATATATATGTAGAGATATAGACAGATGTGTATATATACACATGTGGAGGTAGATGTGTGTATATATATGTGGATACGCATGCAATTGAACAAGGAACACGTCTAATATGTAGCGAAGATGTGAATTGATGTGTTCCCGGTGAGCTCGGAGTACCGAAAACGGCGACGTGCAGCATGCAGCCTGCTTCGGCCCGGTCCTCCATACACGGTCGTTCCTGGCGCTGGGAGGCGCGGGGGAAGCTGGCTGCACGTGCTTGTTCATATGCGGCCGATTCGCTCGCCCCCCTTTGCCATTCCCACTTCCCCGTTCGTCCGACCCGACATGCAGGACGTCGGGTCTCAGCAAGGGGCCCGATGAGCAGCCGACCAGCCTGCCCAGAGGGCCCGCGGAGGCCATCGCAGACCTCCGACGTCGACGTTCTCGCCTCACGACGTGTGCCCCCCCAGAGGTCGAGGCCTCTTCCCTGCGGCCGACTTCGCGTCCCCGGGTAATTTCGTTGACAGTCCCGGGGCCCCGTGGGGGCTCTTGGAGGCCGAAGATAATCCAAGCCTCCCGTTGGGGTTTGGTTCACAAGCAGCGGGGACGGCCAGGAGGGGGGGGAGGAGGAGCAGCTGGCGGGGATTTCACGGCCGGGGCCACGACATCTCCCCGAATGTCCTGGCCCCTTCTGTTTTCTCTTCCTCTTATGTTTCTCTTTACTCGCATCATTAGTTGTACTATTATTCTAGCCCTTACGATTCTGATTATTAGTATTCATAGTATTATTGTCATCGTTATTCTTATTCGTTTTCTTTGTTTTGTTTACTCCTCCTCTTCCCATTCTTCTTATTCTTGCCACACGTCCCCTGGACCCCGCTGGGCCGCGCACGTGCCTCGGGCCATGATTCGCGAACCCCGCCCCCCTCCAGGGCTCATTTCGACTCCTCCGATTCGATTCGATTCGATTTCGATGGCTTCCGATTCCGATTCGACTCGATTTCGGATTCCGATGTGGATGCCGATTCCTCCATGGAGGCCTACTGGCCTGCCGATGTCCGCCGATTCGACTTTTCCCGATGTGGCTGCCGATTGCCGCCGATCCGGCTCATTCCGATCGTCGATCCGACTTATCGATTCAATTCTGGGCTCTCCTGCCCCTCTGGAAGGACGCCCCCGGGACCCGAAGGGCCGCCGTGGCCTTCCCGCGCCGCCCCGCGGAGGCGCGAAGGGCCCCGCGGCGGCCCGTCTCGCCGTGCGCCGCGGCCTGGGCTTCTTGGCATCGCTCGGACGTTTGCATTTTCCCTTCGGCGAGGACCATCGAGGAGCATCCTTGATCAGTTGGCGAATCAGCCACGCACGAAGCCGAAGAAAGCACAGGGAATGGACGTCCGAGCGACGGCAAGAGGGTGCCCCTCCGGGTGCCGGGTGCAAACCACACCCTTTGCAAACCACACCCTTCGGAGTCGCCGACTCCCGGAGACGTCTGTGGGGAAAAAACATTTTTTGGGGGAAAAAACAGTCTGTGCGTTTTTTCCCCACAGTGTGTTTTTTCCCCGCAGTCTGTGTGTGTGTCTTTCCCCACAGTGTGCTTTTTCCCCACAGTGCGTTTTTTCCCCACGGTGTGTTTTTCCACACAGTGTGTTTTTTCCCCACGGCGACGTTGGCAGCGTCCCCCATGGCGGCACCTCCTGCGCCCAGTCACAGCGGTCTCCGCGCCAGGGAATGCACGCGGGCAGGGGGACCGCCGCCGACCCTTCGGAGTCCGCGCGGGCGATCGGTACGTCATGTGCATGTCTTGTTGGGTTCTTCAACAGTCCGTGGCGCCCAGCGGGGGCGGCGACCACGCCGCCCAGTGAGTCCAAGGCGATCCGAGGTGAGCGTACCATTTCGGGGGCTCTGGTCGACATCCGAGGACGGCTGTGCGTTCGGTGGCTGACCACGCTGCGAAGTCCTTGGGGTGTCGATGGTGTCGCACGGTCTGTCACAGTTTTTTCCCGGACAGCATTCGACGATGTGTTTGCTCAATCCGGGGCCACAGAGCCCCCGACCCTTCAGGGGGGGTATTGGGTGTTCTTGCGGTGCATGCAGGCGGGGAGTCCAGACTTTGGATGGCTCGATGTGTCCCATTGACCGCTGGCTCGAGTTCGGCGTGTGTCGTTGTGTCGGCCCTCCTGGGACGATCGAAGCATCAGCCACGGGCCGGGAATCGAAAAAAAGTCGCAGGGAGGGGGCGGGAGGAGGAGGAGGAGGAGGAGGAGGAGGAGGAGGAGGAGGAGGACACCCCTGCGGGGCGCGGGCTGAACGAACCTCACCGTCCGATGTCTGAGAGTCAGGGCGCTTCACGGGGGAGCCGCGCGTCGACCCAGGGAGTGCAGAGCACGCTCGTGTCGCGTCGACGCGCGGCGACCCCAGGCGGCGGGGGCGTCCAAGGTGGAAGAGCGCGGGCGGCCCGGAGTCAGCCTCGTGTGGCGGAACGGTGCGCACTGTCAGAAAGCCGCGATCGTTCAACCCAGCCCCTCCCCTGGACCCCCCCCACCCCCCACCCCTCCCCTGGACCCCGCCGCCCCCCCCGCAGCCTCCCCCCCCACCTCTTCCCAGTGGGGGCCGCGGAAGGGATCGAGTGTGAGGGGCTCCCCTTCGGCTCGATGGCGACGTTGCTCGATTTCTTCTGCTGGCTGGAACCTCTGAAGAGGAGGGCCCACGGTCAGGGACAGGGACGACGACGACGGCGACGACGACGACTGAAACAGAAATGCTTCTGACACACGCTGGCAGGGTCGGCTGAGTTTTTTCACAACGTCGACCCCGAGAGGTATCGACCCACTTCCCGGGACCCGTTGTTCATGCCGCGTCGTTGTCTGACGGCCCCTTGGCCCAGCGAGGGCCCCCACAGGCCGAACCTTGCCAAAATCGTCCCCCCGTGTTTTTTTTACTGCGGGAGGGGGTCTGGGAGGTCGTTCCGAGGCAGATGGCCCCGTACACCCCTGGTGACCCCGTGGGGATGTGGTCGCAGCCCGCCCACGAGGCCAGCTTGCCGGCCCTGCGCTCCGTCCAGGATCGGCCACGGCGTCACCGTCGTCGTCGTCGTCGCCGCCGATCCCTGCGTCGTCGTGGCGGTTGGGAAGACAAGCTGGAGGAAAGGCCGTGATTTTAGTGGACTTCGGCAGCACCTATCTTCTGTTTCCTTTCTCTTCACTCCCTCCCCACGGCCTTCCTTCTTCTCCGAGGTGTTTCCCTAGCTCCCCCCCTCCATTGTTTGTCTCTCGCTGAGCGCTCTTTGGCCTTCAGGCCCAGTGCATCCGTGTACCCGAGGAGAAGGACGACGACGACGACGACGACGACGACGACGACGACGACGACGACGACGACGACGACGACGACGGGTCGGAGGACCTCCTCCTCCTTTTACTCGTCGCTCCTCCTCGCCCTCCCCCGCTGGAGGGGTTGGCCAGGAGGCGGGGGTGCGAGGGCTGTGAGGACGGGGGGCGGGGGCAGGAGGAGCGGGCTGAGGAGGAGTGGATGCGGAGGCGGCCGGGAGTGGGGAAGGAGGCGGAGGAGAGGGGAGGAAGAGGAGGAAGGCGATGGTGACGACGAGGAGGAGAAGTAGGCCGAGGAGGCCCAGGAGGAGGAGGAGGAGGAGGAGGAGGAGGAGGAGGAGGAGAGCAGCAGCATCAGCAGAAGGGTGCAGGAGGCGGAGGAGTCAGATGGGGGAGGGGAAGCAGAGGAGCAAGGGGAGAAGGGAGAAGCGAGGCGTGTGACAGCCAACAGCTTCCAGGGTCAGAAGGCAGAGGGGGAGGGAGGAAGGGAAGGAGGGGCAGCAGAAGGATGAAGATGAGCAGGGGCCCATGCCTCCTCCACTCTCGAACAAAAGGCATGATTCTCCACCCGACAGGTTGGGGTTAAAATCTACGAACAGAGATCCCGACCCGCCCACCCTGCATACCGCGGCCACCAGATCCCGAGGTCCACCGAGTATCCCGCCCCCCGTCTCGCCTTCTATCATTAGCGTCCACCCTGGGTATCATGGCCGCCAGATCTCTAGGAACTCCCAGTCTCTCGATTGTCGCGCCCTCCGCCTCGCCTTTCACTACGACTACTGCGACCACTACTACCATTGCGACTGCTCGCATGACTATTACCACGATTATACCGTAAGGGCTTCGCCCCCTGCCGCCGGCCCCATCTCTCGGATAATGGGCATGAGGCCTTGGCGCCGCCTTGAAGCAGCATCGGCAAGAGAAAATTAGATGTTGATGATGTTGTTGAACGCAGTGTTTCGGAGTCGTGAATCTTTAGTCAATTACCAGGGTGGGTGGTTTCCGGGCCGAGATTATAGCGTACCTTACGATGGTTTGTGGCTTCGGGGGCGCGAGCATAGCGTAATTTAAATGTAAGTTGCATGGGCTGATGGCTTCGGAGACGCGAATACAGCATAATTAACGAGGGCTGATGGCTTCGGACACGCGATCATTACATGATTTACGGGGGGGGGTGGCTTCGGGGTCGCCAAGATTGCATCATGCACGCAGGTTTATGGCTTCGGGGATGCGAATACTGCGTGATTTGCCAGTGTTTGTGGCCTCGAGGACGCAAGTTGTGGAATTTAGATGGATTGATGGCCTCGGAGACATGAGCACGGCGTTGTTTCGGTGACGCGAATCTCGCTCAATTCACTAATGTTTCTGGCCTCGGGGACGCGACCATTGCGTAATGTATGAAGGTTTATGGTTTCGGGGGCGCGGATGTTATAGATTTCCCAACCATCCTGTGGTGTTGGGTCCTCGTTTTGAAGAAACGGTCTCCGCGTTCCTCCTTCTCCTCCTTCTCCTCCTCCTCCTCCTTCTCCTCGCCCTCCTCCCTCCTGCGTTCGCATGCCTCCCCACCACCCATGTCGGCACACCCCTCACACGTTTCGTGGCCCCATAGGCAGCTCCACCGAAGGCCCCAGTGGCTGCGTTCGCATGCCTCCCCACCACCCATTTCGGCACACCCCTCACACGCTTCGTGGCCCCATAGGGAGCTCCACCGAAGGCCCCAGTGGCTGCGTTCACATGCCTCCCCACCACCCATTCCGGCACACCGCTCACACGTTTCGTGGCCCCATATGGGAGCTCCACCGAAGGCCCCAGTGGCTGCGTTCGCATGCCTCCCCACCACCCATTTCGGCACACCCCTCACACGTTTCGTGGCCCCATAGGGAGCTCCACCGAAGGCCCCAGTGGCGGCCGCATGCCTCCCCACCACCCATTCGGCACACCCCTCACACGTTTCGTGGCCCCATAGGGAGCTCCACCGAAGGCCCCAGTGGCAGGGTTCGCATGCCTCCCCACCACCCATTTCGGCACACCCCTCACACGTTTCGTGGCCCCTCCACCGAAGGCCCCAGGGATGCCTCCCCACCACCGGCACCCCCTCACACGTTTCGTGGCCCCATAGGGAGCTCCACCGAAGGCCCCAGTGGCTGCGTTCGCATGCTCCCCACCACCCATTTCGGCACACCCCTCACACGTTTCGTGGCCCCATAGGGAGCTCCACCGAAGGCCCCAGTGGCTGCGTTCGCATGCCTCCCCACCACCCATTTCGGCACACCCCTCACACGTTTCGTGGCCCCATAGGGAGCTCCACCGAAGGCCCCAGTGGCTGCGTTCGCATGCCTCCCCACCACCCATTTCGGCACACCCCTCACACGTTTCGTGGCCCCATAGGGAGCTCCACCGAAGGCCCCAGTGGCTGCGTTCGCATGCCTCCCCACCACCCATTTCGGCACACCCCTCACACGTTTCGTGGCCCCATAGGGAGCTCCACCGAAGGCCCCAGTGGCTCCCATGCCTCCCCACCACCCATTTCGGCACACCCCTCACACGTTTCGTGGCCCCATAGGGAGCTCCACCGAAGGCCCCAGTGGCGCGGTGCGACCGTGGCCCAATAGGGAGCTCCACCGAAGGCGTTCGCTGCCTTTCGGCACACGTTTCGTGGCCCCATAGGGAGCTCCACCGAAGGCCCCAGTGGCGCGGTGCCTATGAGAAGAGGGGCCTAGTTTGCGTGCCCCCTCCTTCGTCTCATATCCGTGCGGTACTCGCAGCTGCATATGGTTGGGTCATTCGCCAGGCTAATTTTACGTGTCCCACGCCCCCCCCCCCCAGAAATTTTGAGAACCCTCCCAGGAGACGCTAACCAGGGTCTTTTGCCTTTTTCGTCTCCCCCCCATCGCGCGGTCCATCAACAAGGAACAGTAAGCAGCAAACAGCAATACTGTAACAGTGGAAACTGGAAGCTGGAATTGGCGCAGGGAACAGCAAACCCTGGTACTACAGCCTGCTGGCCCCACAAGGGGGCCGGCGGATCCGTACGTCAACCACGATTGGTGCTACTTCTGCTTCATCTAGAACAGAGCGGGGTAAACAATACTATGATTGAAGAGAGTATAGCACGCCATCACAGGACATATTGTTTGTTAAAGCCACCATAACAGACTCGTAAGCACGATAATAGAACTGCACACACCTTCCTTGCTAGTGTGGGCCTGCCGCAGCGTATGAGAGAACATAGCAAAAAATGGTAGAGCTAGTCACAGCCAACCATGGTACCAAACAGTGAAGTCGATCATGGCAAAGTGCAATATCAAAGTATACGACAGGGTCGAATCTCACAAAGAAAAAATAGCACATCATGAATTATGCAATGACCGAAGAGAGCATGGCACATCATAGGCGAGCTTCTTCGAAACGGTAAGAACTCAGCAGCGGTCGATTGTTAGATTTCAAGCGCAATGCTTCCGACCCGCCTTTCTCACCCCGCACACAGCGGTCGCCATCTCCTAAGGATCACTGGTGGTCCCAGGGTGGCCCGCCTTCCCCGCTTTTTCGGCGGAGTTCACGGCGTCACGCCATCGTGGCGTCACGACGTTTCGCTGATGCCACTACAAAGTTGGATTACCAGTACAGAGCAGGACATGATGCAGTGACATGGAGCAGCATAGTGTAGAAGACTCGATAACACGTTATGGCAGTATGATCTATCAGACGATACAGACGACCACATAGTAGAACACCATAGAAACCCAAAGACTCGAATGGGAACGGGTATGACCGAACAGGGTGTAGTACACGGGTGCTGAACATGAAAGTCTAGAACATGGCATAACATAACATAAAGGAATACATTAGTATGGAACAGGAGAGAAGAGACACACAAGTGAACCGAATAGAACCTATCAGGTTAAGGCAATGGACTTGCTTGTTCTAGAACAGACAAGCACAGAACAGGACATGGCATGCACCACACAACATACTACAATATAAAGTATGGACGGTGGTTGTACAGAGAACCCCGACAGAAGAAAAGAGCCGAATCGGATAAGATACAGCTCGCTAGAAGTGAGGACCTGCGAACAGCACAGAGCGAACAATATACTACATATCTGGACAGTACAGAACGGTAAAGTACATATTAGGGCGTAGTGCGATACACTCGCGTGCTTGATCGTAGAACCGAGCACACCGGAGCATATGGTCACCTAGTAATGCATCGTTTGTTACAACATGAGACCATACTAATGAAAATACGCACAACGAACTACACTACACCATAGAAGACCAACGCATATTACAACGGAAGACCACATGTTGTTAACGAGTGGCGATATGCAACGAGAGGCTATGACAGACCATAGCATACCACACTAGTTGGAACAGGCGGGCGCAACAGAGCAGACCATGATATAGTGTAACGGCATAGTTGCATAAAACCGAGTGGGAAACATTCGACCCCTATTTTTCCGCCACAATTTGTTGTGTCCACTTCCTCTGCCTCAGTTTTGCACGCACCGTTTCAGTAGGCGCGCGCACCGTCGGGGACAAGCGTCGAAGGTTTCGGTGGGGATAGCTCGAAGCAGCATCACGCGAGGTTTTTGACAATTGTCGGTGTCCAGTGGCCCTTGACTGGTTCTCGGAACATAACGAAGAACTCGGGATGAAAAGCCGGTCCTTTCAGGGGGTCTATGTATGGGGGTCCACGTTGCGAAAAGCAACGCGACGTCGGAGATCTGGGGAGGAGGAGGAGAAGGCGAATGAGGAGGGAGGTGCAAGATAGAGTTTTCGTTGCTTCTAGTCTGTGTTTCGCCTTGCCGCTCAGCGGCCACTCTTTCACCGCAGAGGACGATTGTACGGATCGCGGTGTGTCTTGCACACGTGATTGTTGATGGCGCACTTGCTCACGCAGTCTATGGCATACGCGTTGATGCAGCGAACGATTTCGTGGATTCTGGGAGTGTTGCGCAACCCATGGCGCAACATATATTCATAGTGGTTTAGTAGGCAGACTGGGGTTGCTGATCGCGTGTCTGCGGCGCAACCCATGGCGCAATCTATGGCGCAAGCCGCAGTCGACTGTGTGTGTGCGTGTGTGCGCGTGTGTGTTTGTATTTGTGTGTGTGGGTGTGTCTGTGTGTGTGTGTTTGTGTGTGTGTGTGTGTGTGTGTGTGTGTGTGTGTGTGTGTGTGTGTGTGTGTGTGTGTGTGTGTGTGTGTGTGTGTGTGTGTGTGTGTGTGTGTGTGTGGGGGGGGGGACCTCTCTGGGGGAACGAACGAGTGGGTGGGTCGCGGGGTGTCTCGCGCAACTTGTGGCGCAACCTATGGCCCACCCACTGCGGTAATGGACGATGTGAGTGCCCTCGGTGGGTTTGGCTCAATTCATGGCCGACGCCCATCGGGGCAATGGGCGATGTGGTTGCCTGGGGGTAAGTTGTGGCACAACCCATGGCACACCCACGGCGGCAACGGACGATTTGGCTACGTGCGGGGTGTCTTGTGCAGCATATATGGCGCATCCTGCGTCGCAGTTTGTGGCAATTGCTGTCGAAGGTCTCTTGGCGCTCTTGGCGGGGTCAAGTTGTGCCCCGCAGCTCAGGTGTTAGGAGTGGTGACAACATGGTTCCGGCGGCGTTCTGCTTCCCTCTGCCTTCCGGGATCGGCGGTGCGCCCGTGGGGGAAGTGAGAGAGGGGGCATGCCGTCTCAGAAGGCGGCGTGGCTTTTCAGAAGTCCTCCGTTTTTCCGAGAAGCCGTCTCTGCCGTCGGAGAAGACTCGGGCGGCTTCCCAGAAGGCCCCGGGCCCCCCGAGGCGGACCCCGCAGCCGTGGCTCTTGCCTTGCCTGTCGCCGGCAGGAGGAGGCCGCGGTGGACGCGCGGCTGCGCAGGAGCCTCGAGCCGCCCCACGTGTGCGAGTGGACGGTGTACTACGACAAGTGGATCCCATCCTTCCAGGGCGGCGAGTACGAGCCCAACAACGCCTTCGGCGGCGCCCACTGCCTCGAGGCCTGCTGCGAGGATCGGAGGCGGGAAACTGCATCGACATAAACTTTCGGAGTTCAGCGCGGGTTGCCTGGGTCTGGGCAGGCCCCCACCTGTGGCGGCGCCTCCAGCGCCGCCCTGGCGCGCGTGGAAAGGACTCGCGAAGGGGTCTGTGGGGGTCTTTGGGGGTTCCACGCGGGAGTCTCTGCGCGACCTCTGCGCGGCCCTCTCCCGTAGTTTACAGCCGCGCCGATTGGGCGCTGAGTTGCACGGGCGTCGTTGGGGCGCGCGCCGTGCCAAGATCTTGTCAAGTACGCGCATGGATGGCGCGCGTAATCCTCGATCCTTGCTGCTTCGTGCAACCGTTGTCGTGATGGTCACGTCATCGTCACCACCATCATCACAACCACAGCCATCAGCATCCGCATCATCCAAACGAGCCCCAAAACTATCCAAAAAAAGGTTCACGACAGATCGGCTCTATATCGGAGTCTCTACAGGCAGGGAGGGGGGGGCGCAGCGCCGGTCCAAGAGATCCGCACGGACCTCCGTTGGTTTCGTCCCCCCCCCCCTTGGTGCCCCCAAGTCCTCATTTTTTCCGCAGACGCCGTCTGAGCCAGCTCCTCAGCTTCCAGGGAGAAGGCTCCTGCTGCACTGAGTGCAGCCAGGCAGGGCGTGCATATGGCAGGGGCCGCCGACGACCACCACACGTCTGTCGGGCCCTCGTCTTCTGCACCATCCTTGGCCACCGCATCGGTCAGTGGGTCAGCCGTTTCTTACCAATGAGGTAACCCACTGCCCCCGAGATTAATGCCACAGGGATGATCAAGTTCGGGGTTGCGGGGGAATGATACATGTTGCCTACTGGAGGCCAGCATGTGGGAGGAGAAAGAGATGATGTTAAGCGGACCGAGAGCCGAGGATCGAGGATCGAGAAGCGAAGTCGGAGGATCGAGGATCGAGATCCCAGAGTCGAGGATCGAGGTCCGAGGATCGACGGCGGCGAGAGAGACAGAGACAGAAAGATACAGATAGTCAGAGAGAGAGAGAAGTAGAGAAAGATAGACAGAAGGAGAGAGGAGAAGGAGGAAGAGGAGGAGAAACGCCAAGTTCCAAACCTATTACATGTAATTTGTAATCAAACAATGGAAATTAAGATGTTAATCTGCTCGTGTAGGGTAGCTCACGTGCCTCGGATTTCGTGGATAGTAAACCACAGCGATAAAAAAAGTTTAGGGTGCCAGGGGGAGAAAGAGTAAGACAGATAGAGACAGATGCAGAAAGATACAGATAGTTCGACAGAGAGAGAGAGAGAGAGGGGAAAAAAAAGTAGAGAAATATAGACAGACAGAAGGAGAGAGAGAGAGAGAGAGGAGGAGGAGGAGGAGGAGGAGGAGGAGGAGGAGGAGGAGGAGGAGGAGAGAAAAGCCAAAATCCAAACCAATTAAATTTAATTTGTAAACGAACAATGGAAATTAAGATGTTCATCTGCACGTGTAGGGTGCCTCATGTGCCTCGGTTTCCGTGGATAGTAAACCACAGCGATAAAAAAAGTTCAGGGGGCCAGGGGGAGAAGGGAAAGACCGAGAGAGAGAGAGAGAGACAGAGACAAAGAGAGAGAGAGAGAGAAAGAGAGAGATAGAGAGAGAGGGAGAGAAACAAGAAAGCGAGAGAGGAGGAGGAGGAGGAGGAGGAGGAGGAGGAGGAGGAGGAGGAGGAGGAATCTCTCATCGACAATCTCTCGCTTCGCTTGAGACATCCTCGAAGAATTGTTGGTTCCGCTTGAGACATCCTTGAAACATTGATCGTTTCGCTTGAGGCTGCCTCCAAAGATTGTTGGTTTCGCTTGAGACATCCTCGAAAACGTCTTCGCTTCGCTTGATGGTGCTATCTCAACATAAGAAGGAAGTTAACCTCGATGGTGAACTCTTCACGGTGATCGAAAAGTTCGGCCACCGCGCCCCGCGCCCCTGACCAAACTCTTATTGGCCGTGGGTAATCAACTCTAGCGTGTTGAGGGGGGGGGGTCCTTTTTGTATCAGTGGCAGGCGGTTGCTGTTTATACCGGTTTTCTTCCCCGAGAGGACCCGTCCTGCAAGGGGCTGGCCTTGGAGTCGTCCGAGATGTACCAGTGCTACAAGTACGGGGCTGTGCCCGCCGGCGTCGGCGGCATGCATGGGGAGGCCCTGGGCGACGGCGCCTGGCTGCGGCACCGCAGGACCGCGTGGAGCATCATGGTGAAGGTGGCGGCGTACCCTCCACCCCCTCCTGTACACCCTTTTTCCTTCCCCCCCCCCTCCTCCTCCTCCTCCTCCTCCTCCTCCTCCTCCTCCCTCTCTCCTCCTCCTCCCCTCCTTTTCCCTGCTCCTCCTCCTCCACGTCCTCCTCCTCCTCATCCTCCTCCTCCTCCTCATACGCGCCTCCTCTTCCTCTTCCTCCTCGTCCTCCCCTCCTCCTTCCTCCTCCTCCTCCTCCCCTTTTACCCCTGCTCCTCCTCCTCCTTCCATCCCTCCTCCTCCTCCTCCTCCTCCCCTCCTCATCCTCCTCCTCCTCTCTCTCCTTCTCCTCCCCATCCACAATGCAACAATTTGAATGATACTCTCCTCCCCCCCCTGAAGTTGTCAGGAAGATCTCCCGCCCCCTTCGCGTACTGCTTCTTACGCACAGGATGTCAAAAGTCGGTGTGCATCATGTGCGTTTATGAACCTGTTGTCATCGGCTCTTCAAGATGGTGCTCCCGCTGCAGCGTGGGCCTCATTTTCGGATCGGTGCTTTGCTCCCGTCGTTCAGAACAGCGCTCTCGCCCCAGCGCGGGCCACGTTTCTGGATCCGGGTCTTGCTTCATTGTGGTCCCCCCTCCTTATTTCCACTCCCTCGGCCGGCTCCTGGCCCTCCCGTTCCTTCCGCTCCAGTTCCTGTTGCTGCTGCTGCTGCTGCTGTGGTTCGTCTCGCTCCAGCGCGGGGCTTTTCGTCGTAATCCGAGTCTTTCGTCGTCGTTGCCGGCTCCCTCATTTCCCCTCCTCCGAGTTCCCCTGGCCTTCCTTTTCCTCACGATCCTTGCGCTCCAATCCTTACTGATGCTGTTCGTCCTCGTCCTTTTCCTCCCGCTCATCCTGTTGCTATTCCGCCACCTCCTGTTTTGCAGGCGGCTGCCCTTCTTCCGGTTGCGCATAACACGAAGAGTCGCAGGTCGGCTATGATATGCGTCCGCGAATAAAGACGAATCCGCGCCATGGGACAGATGGAGGCAGGGACACGATGTCATATGAGTCCCGAGCGCACCTATCTTGCCCTTCCCCTCTCTCATTCTCTCCTCCTCCTCCTTCTCCTCCTCCTCCTCCTCCTCCTCCTCCTCCTCCTCCTCCTCCTCCTCCTCCTCCTCCTCCTCCTCCCCTCCTCCCGGGGGGCCCTGTGGAGGTGGAGAAGCCCCTTCAGCCCGCCTCGGCGCTGGCGGAGCGGCGGCCGGCGGCGGGGTCGGGCCGGGACGCCTCCGCGGCGGCGGGCTGGCTGCCCCTGCTGGCGCACGTGGCGGCCCTCGTGGCGATGGTGGCGCTGCTCGTGGGCAGCCAGGGGACCCAGAGATCCAACATCTTGAAAAAATCAAGGCGGAGGTTTTTCGCCGATTTCGACCTTTAGATGCCCTCGCCTGGCCTTAGGACCGTCAAAAAACGACTCTGGATGAGAAACCGGTCCCGGGGAAGGGGTCCGGCCGGGCCTTTGGGGGCCGACGTTGAGAACAAATCACGACGTCGGAGGTTTGGGGACGCCAGCTGCGGCGGTCCAGAGGTCCACGACGCCTAGCGCAACGATGTTGTATATTTTGTCGCTACGTCGGATCTCAGGCAAGAGGGCCTCGCTTTCAGAAGCCGTGGACTGGTCCAGGCACGCTCAAGAGAGGGCTTCGCATTCAGCGCGCCCCGCCCCCTGGCGGACCACGGCGCGGAACCTGGCAGCAACAGCAAGGCGGCTTGCCCGCGGGCGGAAGGCCGGCGGCAGTAGACAGCAAGGCGTCCAATTCAGGTCTCCTGGAGTCGGACACATGGACGCCAAATCATCGGTCGATCTCCCCCCACACCAGGGGTGCACGTGCCGTGGGTGGCGCTCCCGGTGTTGTTTCCGCCCCCCCGAGCGCCGCCGGTGCCGAGCTCTCCTGCGCGCACACGCCGACGCCCGGCCAGGGGCCCAGGCCCATCTCTATGGCCCAGGCCTGCTGCACGCGCCCTGCCAGCCCAGCCAGGGGGGCGTGTGCATCGATCCTCGTGTTAAGTCGGGCCTGTCCCTGCACAGGAGGAATAACAAGAATAGTCCACTAATCATCAGGGGACGATTGTTGGACCATTTGATCGCATGTTTTATATACGTTTAATTGTTCGTCGGAAATCCGCCTGTAGGGGGACATGCCCGACCTAGCCCTTGTGTCATTGGATGGGTTGGCTGCACGCAGGAGTGGCCCTTCGCTGGAGTGTTTTTTGTTGTGGCGGGTGGGGGGGCGGGGCAGGCCCAAGCGCACAGGCCGCTACTGCCACATCGCCCTCTGCTGCGGGCAGGCCACGCACCCAACCCCAAGTTCGCCCGTGCCGAGTGAGCATCGTTTCACCGATCCCTATCCCCACGGGCGTGGCCTGGGAACCACTGGCCGCTCTGCATCCCCTTGATGGGAATATGGGCTGTTCCCTTCGAGCTTCGAGGCGCGTATCCCCAGCTGGTCTAGGCCTCCTAGATGGGGTCGGAGTAGATGGGGTCAGAGGATCGTGCCGCATCGACGATGCATCGGCGATGCGGCTCAATGTGGAGCCCGATTTGCTTCACGTCGACGTCGCCGATGCATCGCCCACGTCGACGATGCATCACCGGTGCATCGCCGATGGATGCATCGCCGATGTATCGGCGATGCGGCGCGATCCTCCGACCGAGTCTACTCCGACCCCATCTAGGAGGCCCCTAGCTGGGATGGTGGGATGGGGATGGGGATGGGGATCGGCTAAACGATGCTGACCGAGGGCCACGCCTGCGTGTAGCCGAAGGGGCCTGGGCCCTAGAGCGGCGGTGGCGTGTAGGTGGCATCGTCCTTCCGGTCAGGAGCTCTGGCCCGGCGTGTCGTTCTGTTGATTTTTTAAGTCGGGCATGTCTCCCTGCAGCAGGAATACCCCCCAAAAAAATTGAAAATAGTCCGAGGAGAAGCTTTTCTTTTGTATCCGTGAGTTTTTGTGGTGCATTGTGAAGGCATGCTTGATCTTTCGTCCACAATCGGCCTGTAGGGGGACAGGCCCGACTTGACGCTGATTCTGGCCCACCACGCGGCGACGCGACATGCCAACCGCTTCTTTTTCTCAAGCGTCAATCGGAAGCCGGGCAAGGGCTGCTAAGTCCGTGGCTGCTAAGATCCACTTCCGGGAAGTCGTCTTCGTCCTTCCGGGAAGAAGCCCGCTGACTGTTTCGGGTGCCGCGCCTCACTCCGGGAAGTTGTCTTTTTCCTTCCGGGAGGGCCGTTTTAGCAGCCACGGTTTTAGCAGCCCTCGCCCAGCTTTCGAGTCAACGCCCGGCGCCCTTCCCAGATCGCGCCGTAAAAAAAAACGCCGGCCGGGAGGTCTCCCTAGCTGGTCCTTTTCGGCCCCGGGGGGGGGGGCCCTGGCCGGGCCTCGGGACTGTCAACAAAACGACTCGGGACGAAAAACCGCTACTACTACTACTGCTACTACTACTACTACTACTACTACTACTACTACTACTACTACTACTACTACTACTACTGCTACACTGCTACTACTACACTACTAAATATGACTGCTAACTACTACTACTTACTATACTACTACTACAACGAACCTACTACTACTACTACGAAAAAAAATACTACTACACTACTACTACAATACACAAAAACTTACAACTACAAAAACTACTAAGACTACTTTACTACTAACGACTACTACTACTTACACGCTTACGACTACTACTACTGCTACTACTACTACTATACTCTAATTACGCTACTGACGGCCTACTGCTACTACTACTACTACTACTACTACTACTATTACTACTACTACTACTACTACTACTACTACTACTACAAAACGACTCGGGACGAAAAAACCCTCGGGACAAAAACGACTCGGGGCGACTGGTCACGGGGAAAGGGTCGGGACTTCAGGGACGCCGTCTTGGAAAAATCAGGACGCCGCAGGTCTTGGTTCTGAGCCGTACGGAGCCCCTGCAGGTCCCAACCCCTTTCCCCAAGCCGGCTTTTCGTCCCGAGCCGTAGGTTGACGGGCCCGTGGCCCGGGGCCGGGGCCCACAGAGACCGAAACTCGCCAAACACTTGCCGTCGTGATTTTGCAGCGGCGCGATCATGCCTGGCCTTGAGCCGGGCGTGTCCCCAAACCATAGTCAAAAAAACAGTCTGGGGACGATTTTTGGACCAGTCTTGAATGTTTTCCTGTCTTTGTTTAAAGATCTTTCGTCCAAAATCGGCCTGTAGGGGGACGTGCCCGACTTCAGTCTGGCCATTTGGGGCCGGCGAAGCGGCACGCCGAGCAGAAGTCCCCCGACCACAGGCAGCCTCACTACCGCGCTGCAGCGCGTCGAGCTCGTTGGCAAGAAGTTCATCGGCGGCGCCCACGACCCGGAGGTCACGCGCCTGCTGGAGGTGGCGGGGCTGCCGAAGGCGCGGCCCAGCTGAGTGGCCCGGTGGTGCCCGGCTCCTCCCCTTATCTCCCGTCGGGGGCGGCCACGCGAGGGGTGATGATTGGGGGGCGGATGCTGACCTCATGGCCGGGGCCATGATACCTTCCCGATTCGACGGGCCCGTCTTCTTCTTCTTCTTCTTCTTCCTCTTCTTCTTCTTCTTTCAGTGCGTCCCCTGGTCCCCCCCTCACCCGCGCACATATTTCGGGCCATGATGCCCACCCCCCTTTCTTGGACACCCTCCTCTTGGACACCCCCGATCGTACCCTCCGCTCTTCGGCTGAGCGCAAGGGTGACTGTTCTCGAGGAACACGAACCGGCAGCATCATCATCCACCATCTCATCATTCAATTCATCATCATCATCCATCATCATCTCTCATCATCATCATCGTCGTTCGCATCAGCATGCAGCATCAGCATCAGCATCAGCATCAGCATCATCTCTAGCTCAGCATCAGATCAGCATCAGCATCAGCATCAGGAATCAGCATCCCAGCATTCAGCAATACCGAATCAGCATCAGCATCATCCCATCATCATAATCCATAATCATCATCATCCTCAAGAGACAGCATGCCACACATCGGCAACATCGTGTCGCCATCATCATCCTCAACTTCGGTGACCTTTGGCTCTTGCGCTGCGGCCCCCATGGCGGCGTCCAGCCCCACCCCCTGGCGCGCTCCGCGCGCCGTGCTCGGGGTTGGGGCGCAGGACGATATCCAGGACTTCTGCGCGGAGCCCCGACCGTTTTCCAGCGGTGCTGCCGCGCGACTCCGCCCGCCACCGCGCTCGGGTGGGCGCCCGGGGGAGGGGGGGGGAGGCGAGCGCGGGGGGGGGGGGGATGATCCATTGAACCTCTCTCCGCCGACTTCATTCGGGTATAGCCAGGACCCCAGGTAAGGGGACCCGGTTAGTGGTAGGGCCCCGGAGAGCCCCTAAATTAGCCAGAATCTCTGAACCAGGTCTGCCGTAGCTGGTGTTTTCTCGGGTGACGGCAGCTCTGATTAGTGGAACGGAGCGGGGGGGGCGTCCCCTAGTACACATCACTAAACCAGGTCCCACTACACCCGGTTCTGCCAACACCCGATTCATATTTGGCACATGCTTTGCCTGACATGGCAACGGCGCAGTGACTTGGCGACAAAAACGAGCTCATCTGCGGCTCGATGCGTCGGGTCGGGGTGCCCCAACTGTTGCTTCGCACGGAGAGCGCGAGGGCCCGGCACACACACACACATACCGCTGCGAGCGCGGCGGCGGATTTTCAGGGCGACCCTTCGACGGAGTGCGATGCGAGGAGCGCGATGCGACATCAGCGTCTTTCTTTTTTTTTTTATTTGTTTTTTTCTTTTTTTTTTTTTTTTTTTTTTCTTTCTTCTGTTATTTTGTTTTTTTCTCTTTTTTTCTTTTGTCTTTTTTTCTAATTTTTACGCGGGCTGGGTTTGGAACCCCCTCCCGATCCTCCCTAACAAAAGCCCGCCGCCTCCAAAAGTCACCTGTGTCTTGCAGTAGGCCGTCCTCGACAGCCTAGTGCCTGCCTCGCCCCCCCGCTCCGTCAACGACCGCGGACAAAATCGGCCTGGGGCGGCTGCCCCTGCTTGCAGGTGGCAGCGAGGGCGGACGCAGGGGGTGTTTGCGGCGACCTGTTAAGCATCAGCCTCCTCCGGCCGACGTTCCAATGTGCGCGCACTCCGCCGCCGCCTCCTCACCGTC